GGGGGGGGGGGGGGGCTGTGGGAGTTGTCGGATCGTGCCTACCTGATCAGCTACACTGTTCATTGATAAGTAAATCTATTGACAATATTGAAATCTATCGAGTCAGATCAACCAAGTTTTTAAGTACCGGTATTATAATTCTTGATGAAAGGTGTGATTGGCAAGATCATTATTATCTCCGTTAAAAATAAATTAGCGAACAGAAATATACGGTAGTGCAATGTTGCAGAAAGCTGTAGGCTTAGACCGTTACTTTCAAATAAAGAATTACTAACTCTTTACCTGTCAGTGTTTTTTACTTATTTTTAAAACTATTTTTCGGTTATGGAGGTGGGTTTTTTTAAATCATTAGGCTGATCCTCCAAGACTCTACTAGCATAACAATTTCGATTTATAAGAGAAATCATTTGGTCACACGTCATTGGAGAGTGACGAGATTGACGGGTTAATCACCTCCACAGACAATGACAACATGACGGAGGTCAAATCTCCGAGTTTCCCGTGACCCTAGGAGAGCTGCAGAAACATCATTGGTGCCTGGAGGCCAGTTGTTGTTGTTGTTGTTGTTGTTGTTGTTGTTGTTGTTGTTGTTGTTGTTGTTGTTGTTGTTGCTGTTGTTGTTGTTGTTGTTGGTTGTTCTGTCAGGCTGTGTATAGTCTATAAGTTATTCGCTTTTTGATTCATTGGGACTCTTTGAGACTTGGGGGTGGGGGGTAAGATTTAGAATTGGGGGCTACAGTAACTGTTGTAGCTGTTAGATCTAGCTGTTCAAATAACAACGTTCATGATCGTTGATTTTCGCCAACAACTTTGAACAACAGGAAAGTCTACGTTTCAGTCCGTTTGTATTCGCTCTCTTCAATATCATAAGATCGCTGATCTATTTGCTGTGACCAACTGGAGTACGAGTTGGATCAATCCGCTATCTTGTCTTACACATGTCTGATTGCATTATCACTGGTCCTTGTATTGTCATGATGCCTTCCAGCGATTACAAACGGTCAAAGGGCGATAATCCATGAAATTCTTTTCAGCAACATAAGGATATTATCATTATAGCTGGTTTATTTTTGGTTATTTCCCTTGTTTGTTTGTTTAAGTATAAAGGTGAGTGACTGAAGGCCGGATGAAATAGGCCTATGTGAAATAAAGCACTGAATCTTCCAACCTCAGGCTGGAGTTGCATAAAAGCTAGAGAGAGAGAGAGAGAGAGAGAGAGAGAGAGAGAGAGAGAGAGAGAGAGAGAGAGAGAGAGAGAGAGAGAGGTGGTTGTTTCTTACCGCTGACACTACAATAGATCTCTTCTCAATACTTTCTACAGAGTTAGATCTTTCTGCCCCTTAGCCTTAGCTTAGCACTTGGAACCAATTTGTGACTGGTTTCTCTGATTCAATGATGTGTAGGCCATTCCATTATTTTATCCCATCAGATATACTCTACACATTATATTAAAAGGCAAGCAGATGTTATTGTTAGATTGGCTTCCAAATACAAAAATCAAATTTTTACTCTAAACTATAACTACGCACACAAAGATAGAGCCTATTCTCAGGAATTCCAGATCTCTTGTTGCCTTTTCCAGAGTTGTGAGCATTTCAGCAAAAACATCACAAATGTGTAGATCTAGATCTAGATCTAATGTTCCTATTAATGTGCATTTCTTCCTAGGAAGTGTTAGAAAAGATTACACCGTGTGTCAAGGTTTGCCCAACGAATGACCACTTTTGGTCAGCACTCGCAGGTTTTGGTCGTTACAGGCTTGCCTGGTACTCGATGGACAACTCTAGCAGCTGAGAGTGAGAGAAGAGGGAGACAGGGATGAAAGTGATAGAGCGTATGAAGTACTGAAAGGCTCCCTCTATAATGCATTCTAAGTAACAGCTCGATGTGTTGGAATCTTAAGGTTTGTTGGTGGCCACTGTCATATATTGACACAACAGACTGCTGTATCCAAGGTCAAAGTTGGACTTAGTTACAGTCTAGACTAGGTTTAGATCTAGATTTGATCTAGACTCTTCTAATCTAGACGTCTAGAATCTAGATCGAAGTGGCTAGCCGTACTTAAGTACTGCCAGTCTAGCCGTACTTAGATCTAGGTTTGGCCCAATCGACTAAAACCTGTTAAGTACACAGGTCTCAATAGATCTAGATTCTAGATCTAGTAATTATTCAGGTTCAAATACATGCAAGTCAGTAAGGCACCTTTTGGTTTTGTCTGAAATACAAATACTTTTGGCATAGCAAACTAAAAATTTCATTTACAATTCAGCCATCAATATTAAGTACGGCTAGCCTGACAGTCTAGCTGTCCTTTTAAGTACGGCTAGCCTGGCAGTCTAGCCGTACTTATCTTAGGCCCTATTAACATGAGAAAACAGGAGGTTTAAAATACATGCACTGTCATTAAGGCACCTGGTTTCGTCTCAAATTCAAATACTTTAGGTACTTCACACTAAAAATGTATATTTACAATTCAGTAGGCCTATTTTTTTGTAAATGGTCAGTCTAGCCATCATATTAAGAATAAGTACGGCTAGACTGCTCTTCCCACAACTGCCAGTCTAGCCGTCATTAAGTACGGCTAGCCTCTTCCAATCTAGATCTAATCTAGATCTAGATATCTAGATCTTATAAATACTGTAACATACTAATACTAAGGATCTAATCTAGATCTAGATAATCTAGATATCTAGATCTAGATGTCTAGATCTCTATCTGTAGTCTATAGATTAGATCTAGATCTATAGAGTTAGATCTAGAGTCTAGTCTAGACTACGTCTCATGAAAATTTCATATATTTAGGATGAAAATGTTTCTGGATGCAGTTTGAAAAATGCTTTCCTATACCAAATGTGGTGATTTTGTAGTTCCGTCTGCTTAAAGTCCCAACAGTCAAGAGCATGGGGGGTTCAGCTGACTCAGGCCCTGACCTCTAATAAAAAATACGGAGGGGGGGCCGCGGATTCAGGGAATTCTACTATAAATAATTGATGTTTTGCAGTTAGGTTGCATCACTAGCTGTTCTTTGTGTTGGTCATCAAGACTTACGGATTTCTTCTCTGGATGTAAACAAATGGACTTTAACGAACGGAACTACAGGATTTATCACTGTACGATAATTAGAGCCAAAGTATGGTGTAATCTGGAGTGTAGAATGGACTGGGAGGTAGGCCTACATCTCCAACATTTCCTTTCACAACAGAATGCTCAAAATGTGCTGGTTGATGTGGCCGGCCAGTCCTGGGCTGGGACAGTGAGTCGTGAGCTTAGCCTTCTCTATAGACTATATAGATAGACTATATATATATATATATTCACAGGACAAAGAACTGACTAGATCTACACTAACAAGAAGAATAACTAGTTTCTCTTCGATGTCTAAGTGACTGTTTTATAGACAGATTACCACAGTTCTACAAGTGTAATTGTAACGGTTTACTCTTCTTGTGGTTCAGGCCATGGCTGTGAGCTGACCACAGTAGCTGACCACAGTAGCTGACCACAGTAGCTGACCACAGTAGCTGACCACAGGAGCTGACCACTGTAGCTGACCACTGTAGCTGACCACAGGCGTGCTCGCTGGTACACAGGGTTTGCTGATGTCATCAGACGTACCACGCAGTGACGTCCCAGCAGTACACGATGTTTGCTGATGTCATCAGACGTACCACGCAGTGACGTCAGAGGGAAGCCGACATGTGGCAGTGACGTGTTGCGCGTGTAGTGGTGACATGTCAGTGAGCACTGGTAATGCGACGGTGTGTTGCAGTGGCGTGTCGGCATGTAGCGGTGGCGTGTCGGCGTGTGGCGGTGGTGTGTCACCAGCAGACTGTGTGTCTTCCCACAACTGCTCCCATCTAGAGGACAACGGCCCCACAAACTTCACACCCGCCAAACCCACACCTTCCACACCCGCCAAACCCACACCTTCCACACCCGCCAA